TAACAAGACCACACCTACTCCAACAAGGCCACACCTGCTCTAACAAGACCACACCTACTCCAACAAGGCCACACCTACTCTAACAAGACCACACCCACTCCAACAAGGCTACACCTACTCTAACAAGACCACACCCACTCCAACAAGGCCACACCTACTCTAACAAGACCACACCTACTCCAACAAGGCCACACCTCCTAACAGTGACACTCCCTATAAGCCTATGGGGGGGGGGCATTTTCATCCAAACCACCACAGTACCTCTTGGTAAATTCTTCTCCGCATTTTGAGAAGTGGTGAATTTCTGTGATGGTCTCCTTCAGCTGAGAAGTTGAGGCTTTTCGATATTCTACTGAAAAGACCATCAGCCTCAATGGTTTCTGCAAAATACCCTCTACTTCTGTACACCCTTGGGGTTTCTGCTTTTTCTGACTTCTCATGTCACCCCAAAACCTAACTACACACCAGCCTGTCAACCACTGGACGCTGCTCTCACTTCTCAGATGCTAAGTAGTGACAGGTCCTGCTATTCAATGTCAATAATTTTTCCAATTCATAAAATAAAAAAAAAATCAGTCTCTCATAGACTATCCCTTGTGAGAGGCTTAGCAGGGGTCTAAACTCTGTGACTGTTCTCTTCCCTATTCAGTGCAATCTCTACAAGGAAGAGAGAGGCTACTTGACCCTCTGTGTTCCTCCACCATAGTCCTGGATGAATTATAGCATTTATCTCGGAATTAATTGATTTGTCAGTGGAAAAAGGACATTACAGTCCTAAGTATTGACTGGTAAAGACTAAAAATAGTTCCCTTGAGATCCTAGGGTCCTGACTCCCTTCCCTCTAGAGTATCAAAATTGGGGTGGATGCTTCAGATGACAGTCAGGGTGGTCTAGGTGTCAGTCAATGCTTGGTTTCATCAAGAAACTGGATTTGGTTTCCAGCATCAGCACTGTTGGCTGTGCAGCATGGGGGCAAACAGTTAATCCTTCTGTGTTTTTCTTCTTTCACTCAAAAATATTCAGCAAACAACTGGTGTTTTCAGAACACATAGAATAAAAAACAATCAAAGCTTGCCTCCAGGATTCCCAGTCTCTTCTGGATCTATATTTTCTATTCTTGGGGCTTGAAACTTGAGGACTCCCATTCTCTTCCGGATCTGTGTTTTCTATTCCTGGGGCTTGAAACCAGGGCCTTGAACATGACCATCAGACACTCTACCGCAGAGTTCACTCATAGTCCTTTTCTTCTGGATTTGACACATCAAAACAGGGATGTGCCTCTGAGTTGTTTGGAGGATAGGCAAAGTATTATGGAAACAAAGAGCCTGAGTTACTAGAAAGAACATTGTCTTGGTTTCTGCTTGATATAAGAAAATACCCGGATGAAAGCAACTTAAGGGAGAAAGAGTTCCTTTTGGCTTATGATGCAAGGGTATAGTCCATCATGAGAGGGAAGGCAGAGGGCAGGAGCTCGAAGCAGCTGACCTTGCATCCACAATCAGGAATCAGAAAGCAATGGATGCCTGAATTTATCTTACCTTATCACAGTGCAGGGGATCCCTGCCACCCATAGTGGGCAGTTCTTCCAACATCAGTTACCTTAAGATAATCCTCTTTGCACATGCCAGGATGCATTTCCCAGATTATTCTAGATCTCCTTAAGTTGAAACATTAAGATGAAGCATCAGAAATGTGACATCTTTAGTCAAAGAAACTGGCTTGGAATCTTGGTTCTGTGCTTGTTGAAGGAAGTGTTTATGATGAGCACACAATCTTGTCCTTTACTTTCCTCCTCTGTTACACAGAGAGAGGCATTCCTTTCCCCGTGAAGCATGACAGGACAGATCCTGTGATAATGTCTGTGGAGGCATTTTGTTAATAAGAAAACAGTATGTGGCTATCCGTCATTTCTTAGCTATTAGTCATTTAAAATGAAATGTAGGGCAATCTCTTGGCTGCAAAATTGAAATATATCTGAAATCAATAATCACTCGGAGGACAGCAGTGTTGGTGATGGATCAGGCACGTTAGGAAAAAAAAATGGCAATCTCTGGTCTCAAGGATTGGGTGTTCATCAAGACAGACTTCTTGCAGAGCCAGCACCTGTCATTCTGTCTTTGTGATATGCCATCTCTGGATGACACTAGCTGCTGGGCTCCCTGTGTCCTTGAGGAACATATTACAGAAGAGAGAGGTGACGGGGAGCATGTGTCCAGCACCATGCCTACATGGACTACAGTGTGTGGCCCATGAGCAGAGCAGGAGGGCACCCAGCTCTGGCACGGCTGACAGAGAAACCCTTGGCATTGGTCAAGCTGGACAGACTGACCTGTGTGTCAGCATACCTCCACTCCACTCTCACTCCTGTCAGCCTGAATAGTGAGAGAGATGAGCTGGCTGCCAGACCTGCCTGCCTGTGTCTATGGGAGTCTCTGGGAAGATGGATTTCGAGGGAATTAGAGTACAGGCGATCCCAGGGAAGGCAGTGGCTATATCGGCTCTGGAGTTGAACAGCCCCACAGTTAGAACCTGACTGTCCCTCTCCCAGCTGCTGAAGTTTGGAAAATCCCCCTACGTTTGGTGTCTTATACTGCAGTCTTCATCTTTCCAACATGGAGATGATAAAACTTCCAGCCAGACTTGACACCAATACTAGAAGAAGAAATAGGAAAGTAACGAGTGGGCGAAGTGTCTTTGGGGCGTCCATAAAGACCTGAATTAGGATCACCAGGACCCAGGTAAAAAGCCAGGCATAGTGGTGTGTACCTGTGGCCTGAGAGCTAGGATGGAAGGGTATAACGGAGGTGAGCAGGTTCTCAAAGCTGCTTGCTCAGCCAGTCTAGCCGAACCAATGTGCTTCACCTTCACCAAGAGCCCGTCTTTAAAGACAAAAGTGAAAAGTGATGGGGATCTGACATCAACCTCCAACCTCAACATATAGGCAAGCACACAGACACCTGCATGCACAGATGTACAATCTTGCAGTGACAAGTGCACGCAACACACAGACAATACACTCAGGACACACACATTCACACACACACATATAAACTCACACACACTCACACAAACTCACATCACTTACATTTCCCCCCAACTCCTCTTCACTCTCTCTCTCACACACACTCACACTCTTACAACACAGACACACCCTTACACACCTCCACTCATATACAGTCTGTCTGTCTCTCTCTCACACACACACATCATACACACACACATGAAACAGAGAAAGAAAAAAATGTAAAGAAAAGCCACCAGCATCAATATGCCCTCCACGGCGGGTGCTAGAAATAATCTAGTTTTCATCTCTGAGATAGTAAGAATGAGACAATCATATAAAAAATTTAGACTTTCCACATCCACAAAATGTTCAAGCTCTCCAAAAATGGGATGTGATTATTTTTAATCAGCTGACTGGCATCCAAGATGACCTCATCATCTTAGGAACCTCGTTGAGATCCAGCTTTCACCGCTGCGAGCTGAAGAACGCGGTGGCAGTGACCTTCCAGTGACCCCTGCAGAAATGACCACTCCGTCAGCTCTGTCTGGGGGAGGAGTTGTGGGGCTCGAGAGAAAGACAAGGCATGGACATGTGTTTGGCTTGTCTTCTTCTGGGGCTGATGCTCAGTTGACATGTCTGTAGTGCACTAGTGAATTCTTTGTCCCCTAGAGGTAAAAGGAGTCTCATAGTTCTCCAAGGGCTCAGCCTCTATCCCACATAAGCCTTTTTAAATTTTGCTGTCTGACCTTGCATTTTTCTGTAAGATTTCTTACTCCTGGTTGCAGGAACTGTGGCAGCCTGTCCCCCTCCACTGGACTCTCTAGGGCGTGTTAGTGAGCGAGCATTCTCTGTATCCACAAGTGCCTCATTTCCCCAGACTGAGCAGTGACCCCCTTCTGTTGAAGAGGGAGCTCCCCTCGGCAGCAAAGTCTTAAGTCGGAGCTGGAGAGATGGAAACGAGGCTAGTGAGTTCACTAACTTCTCAGTTGTGGCTCTGGACTAGGAAAGAGGAAGTGGAAGTTCTATCTTGTACATCTGGGATGCCTTGGATTCCTGGGAGCTTGTGGATTGAAGGGGGACCTGGAGGCATTTGAGGGACACATTTGAAGTACAAGGGGCCCTCAGAACCAGGGGTTAGGTAGTTGGACTCACTCCACCTGGGGGATGGGGAATTAATCAGGACAGCAGTTGGGAAATTAGGCATGGGCTTAAGAAACAGTGATTCATGGTTCTAGAATCTTCTGTGTCTAGAGGGATGAACGGGATGTGTGGGTAATAGGCTCTTCCATATTTCTAATGCTGGGAAGGATGTGTCTGGTAATAGGCAGGCTTACTGATGGCATGTATCTCTGGGGAGAGAAGGCTTTTGGCTCTGAGGAAAGGCCCTCATCTCTCTGCCCCACGCTTGAAACTGACCTTCAGTTTTCATTTTCACTCTGTTTCTTGGGTTCTTTTGTGGTCCAACATTGAAATGAAAGCACACGTTCCTTGGAGGATTTATCTAATCTGGTCGCAAATAGAAGACGACCAGCTTCCCGGCTTCTGTGCATGTGCTTAGATAGACCTGGTGATCACAGCCTGTAAAGCCCTCTGATGCCCAGCTCAGGGACTTGGGCAAAAATAGAAAGTGAGGTCAGTCCTCCGAGGACGACCGGAGCGCTTGCCATCGAAATGGAAGGAATCAAACCGCTCTTTGACTATAAGGCTAAGAAACGCCGTAGTTATCCATCCTCAGCTCTTTTTTGCTTTGATCTTTGCTTTGTCCCTAAGCAAGTTCTGGCTGTCCACGGGAGCCAGATGTCAAGGAAAAATGAGATGCAACCCTGGCCAGAAGATTTGCTGTAAAAGTCATGACTCAAGCTTCAGTGCATGCTCAGTCTTTCTCTGGCCCTGTGTTTTGTGAAATACTTACATGTAAAGTGTCATCCATATTTATTTTTGTCACATTTATGTACTTTGCACATGTGTGTCTGTGCATGTGGGGGAGCACATGCATGTGCACACATGTCACAAGGTGCTTGTGGAGGTTAGAGGACAACTTAGAGGAGTCAGTTAGGGACAGAACTCAGGGAATCATCAACTCAGGTCATCAGCCTTAGCATCAAGTGCCTTAACCTGCTGAACCACATTTAATAAGCTTCAGTTCCTGAACAATCTGAATCTGAGTCGATCCCCTTTAATCCTGTAGGAGCCATGTCCATGCTCATATAATCAAATGGATTCCTGAGCATATCTAGAATTATGTTAGAGCAAATGCTAGTAGGGTACAGGGGGAGCCAAAGGAGAGAAAGCCTTCCATGTATCTAGAACTGAGTGTCAGTTCTGTTCTGTGTCTACCCAGCTTGGGTAGACTGACTCAATGCTGCACCAAGACTTTAGCATCACACTGTATCTTAAAGACAGAGACCTCCACACAACCCTCCTTGACCTTCACAGGGTCACCCTTGACTCTACAAGATGATTCCTCACCTCCATGAGACTAGCCTTGAGTTCCATAGAACTACCCTGGATTTCTCCAAGACTTTCTATGACCTTTGTGTGGCTGATTATAGTCAAATGGCAGCTACGCTTCAAAGTTTCCAGGCCTCTCCCATGCTAACCATCACCCAGTCATGTTCCA